CCATATTGTGCAAAGAGGAAGGGAAGACCACTCAGGGAACCAGCAGGCCACCAGTATACTCAAATTAGGTAGCTATTACTTATCTGGTCCTACCATTTTAGCCCATGTATTTAGATAGGACAAGTGGGACTTGAAACAAGTATTGGTTTCCAATACTTCATTCCAGCCTCCCCTTTTCAGACATGTCTCTTCTGCTAATCATTATTCCATATCCCCACAACATGCTAAAGGAATCCCTGAGAATTCACCATGGCATCGCTGGCCTTGAATCTGCCTGGACACCCTCCAAATGTCTTGATCACAACTCTCAGCAGTCTCCAGCCAGCATGACCATACCTGAGCATTCTGAGAATTGAAAACACCACACCTGGTTAAGAAAGACTGCCTCAATAGTCTGCATTCCGGTGCATCATTTCAAAGACAAAATACTATAAATTGTTTAGTGAACGAAGATTACTGGATTACTTGGACAGTAACACAGATACACTGGTGTTTTTTTTAGGATTGAGGTTGCTATACTGAAATACTGAAGCAAATGATTAAAAAGGACACATAGACTATGCTTTGTAGTTGTTTAAAAGCAGCAGTGTTCTTGAGAAAAGTAAATGGAAATGAAAAACACTTTTTCTTGTGTAGATTTTATTGTGATGTGGGGGAAAGGAAGAGAGGTCTAGAAGCAGAACTGGTAAAAAAAAATGACAGTCGTTGATTAGCTATTAGCTGTTTTGGATTGAAATCGCTGAATCAACCTAGATATAAACCTTTCTACTCAGTATGTTTACTTTTATGCTCTTTTGATGCTTCTTGGCTAAGTGTTGGTAGTGTATGTTGCTTTCAGCAATAATCAGCAGATGGCCACAGTGTAGATTTTTTTTTCCCCAGTCAGGGAAAAAAACCCCCACTGCTTCCTGGTAACAGTTACTGTAGCTTAAAAGAAAAAGAGTAATTCAGTTCTGTAATGTACAATTCTGGTTAGACTGAGAAACTCTTGTCTAATTTACCTCTAATTCATATTTGTTCATTAATCTTATTGTGTGACCTTGGGGGAAGCCTTTTTTTTCCCAGCCCAAACTACCTCACGGGGTTGGAAAGATAAAATGAAGTATGGCCCATGCAAGGAAGTTAAAGGAAAGGCTATGACTGGAATAAGTAAATAAAAGTAATACATTCTGGTATTTGTTGGCCTCTGTTGGTCCTTATTCAGAAATCTGGTTTAAAAAAACCAAGAGATCATTGTATGCTCCTTGAGGATTAATATCTCCAAGGTTTGGCCTGAAGACACATTATGCTGTAACTTTACTGAAAATAACTTGGCTTAATAAGACCCCAGTGAAAAATTGCCTGGAAGTCGCATTCCAATGAAGAAAAAGGGAAGAGGAGGATAATTGTTGCTATTATCAAATATTTTACTTGTTGGCCTTTCCACATATATGGTAATCACTGTTATATTTTACCAGATATAATTGCACTGGATTGAACTTTGGAAAAGTTGATGTGGGTCGCTACCCTGACGTCAGCACCAAGTAAGCCCTCAGCCTCTATACGTATCTAGGATGGTTAGACAAATTAGAATGCCAGATATGTGAGAGAACATTGGGAAGATTTACTTTCTAATAGCAGGGCATTGGGAAAAGGGAGGACATTGATTGGTATTCTCATAGTATAATTGATTAGGTTCAGAACTGCAGAAGAGAGACCAGGCTGCAGTAGGGAGCACATTTCCAATTTACACATAACTATTGGTACTGTAATATCTGCAAATATCAAGATTTTAATGGGCCCCAAGACATGTTCTTGGCCTGTTTATGAGGCCAGAAAAGATTACCAACTTGATTAGACACTACTTTTCAGAAATTATTCTTGGACTTCACTCATCTCTTTATAGATACAAAATCAGCACCTCTCCTCTCACTAAGCAACTGCCTACACTGATCCTTTTCCAAGGTGGTAAAGAAGTGATGCGCCGGCCACAGATTGATAAAAAGGGACGAGCAGTTTCTTGGAACTTTTCTGAGGTATTTCTTTTACCCGTAATTGATAGTAAGCAAAGCTCCCTAGTAAAATGTCTGATAAATTACTAAATTATTGAAGCGGAGTTGTTGTCACATTGGGAGCTGGAGGCTGGCACAAAGCAACAGTCATATATCTTTCTCTTACAGGAGAATGTGATCCGGGAATTCAACTTGAATGAACTATACCAGAAAGCCAAGAAAATATCCAAGCATGCAGATGAGAACTTTGAGGAATTTTCAGAACAGTCAGCTATCACAGAGCATCCTAATGGAGAAAGCAAGAAAGACAAATAATGCCTGTAAGACTGGACAACAATGCTCTTGCTGTTAAGCTCTCCATTTCTCTGTTTCCATCGTGACATTTCTCCTAGGATGTCATCCAAAGACTGCTTCCATCCAACAGTGATGGTGCTGGGGGATGTGTATAATCACTAAGATACTTATCATCCTGGGCTCTGTTATTGGCCATGGACCTCTACATTTTCTTTTGTATTTTTGTTCCAAATTTTCTTTCCAAGAGTCACTACTGATATTTAAGTAATAGAAGCATCCAGAGAAAATCTTGGTGACCTCCTCAAGGAGAGTATCACCATGGAATGCAGGCTGCTTCTCTGGGAATTAGCAGGAACTGCTAAGAAGAAACACTGTAACAGGAGGGTAAATCTATTTCTTGTTTTATCGATATGATTTCGGTGGTAAAATTGGACAAACCCACATCTCACATGAAATCAACTCCATTCACTCCCGAAGGTTCGCTCTGAGAAAGATACTGGCATTTCTGACCAGTTTCTGCTACCCTATCCTATTGCCCTATTATTATTGTGGTCATTGTTATTGTTATTAAGAAAGGTCTTGTGGTATCTTGTGGTCTTTTCTCTTTTTAGAACCTAATGGGCAATAGTAGAATATTTGCTAAATTTGAAATTGTGCCAGAAAACCAGTGGCTAATATACAGCTTTAAAAGATCTATCTTTTATAGTAACAGCTGGTAGCTTAGTGTGACTGTTTCACTTGGAGGAGCTGCTGTTTCTATCATCCATCTAATACTGCACAAAACAGGATTTAACTAATGTGGCAGATGTTTTGGCACTACATTGAATGGAGTTCTTAGCCAGTGTGGCTATCTGGGTAGAGCAAAGGTTGGGCAAGTATTGTCCTAGTGTTTTTAGTTGCTGCACTCCGACAGAGGGCTTGCCTGTAGGTGAAAACGCTGCAAATCAGCACGGTTCATCCATGTTCATGCTTCTGTTAACGGTATTGTACAGGTGCCTTTAATAAATCTGGGAGTGTTGTATTCCTGTGACTTTTTATTGATTAATTATATTGTTGGTGGGGTTCCTGCCTTCATGGTTTGACTTTGGCTTGTAAAAAAATACAGTCTTTTAATGTTTAAATCAATTTGCTCAAGGCTCAGCTCATTCTTTATGCAGCAGCATTTTCAGGCTTTCACTTTTTCTCTTAGGGTACATTTTAGACCATATGCAGAAAGCAAATAAGTTTCACAGTGGATGGGTTCACACAATTTACTAGGATATGAGTGTGTGTGTGTGTGTGTATGTATGTATGTATGTATGTCTCTATCGTTTGTATTCTAAAGTGAAGCAGGCAGTAAAAAAAAGGGACAGTGTTTTATTATTTATTTTACAATATTTGTACCCCACCTCATTCCTAGCAGATTTTGCGTTATATTTTGCATTAAAAGGATTAACTAAACCCTGGTTCTAATCCTCCATCTATTTAAATGAGAATTCCTGTGCAAGATTAGTAGTATGGGTTCTGCTGATTAGATAGATGGAAATTCAGAAGTGTAACTGCTAATGTCCTCCTTGTTTTTAGAATATATAACGGTACAATTACAAAACTGTTCAGTCGCAAATGAAGATGTGTAACCTGGGCTCTAATGTTATTTTAACAGTGGCAAGGAGCAAGTCTTCTTCAACCACCCATCTCTTTTCTGGAGGAGACAAGCAGCATGTCTCTTTGCTCCAGAGGTAGGACTAGAACCAACTGATGAAAATAGCATGGTAGCAGATTTCAACTCAATGTTAGGAGAAACACTGCTTTCATAAACTAACAATACTCTTTGGAACAGAATTCCTCTGAAGTCTGTATTACCTCAACCCTATTATAATTTTTTTTAAAAAATCTTAGACACCTGGCTTTTTCAACAGGACAGCTTCTGACCCTGCTTTCTGATCTATATTTTAAAGGGTATAACTGGTCTTTTTGTTTTTCCCAATATGAGCAATCCTATTATTAATTTGATTTTGATTTTTAATTTATATTTCACCATTATTATTTTTTTAAACAACTTAAGGCAGCGATCAAATCCACCACCTCCTGTTTTCCTTACAATACAATCTTTTGGGGTGAATTGGGCTGAGAGAATGGCTGGCTCAAAGTCACCCAGCTGGCTTTCATGGCTAAGGCCTGACTTGATTTCTGTCTCCTGCTTTGTCTTGTCTGTTTTTCAAAAGTTCTAACAATTTATATGGACATAAGCTAACCATGGTTGCAGTTGCAATTGAGCCTTATAAGTCAATTGCTGATTTCGTACATTAATTCTGATTAGCTTAGTTAAGTTTATTGTATGAACTTGGCCAACAGCGGGACCGATTTTCGCAGGAGGCCAATGATGTACTACTCTCCTTTGTTAGAGAGCTGGGCGGCATCTCCTACCGTATTGCAAGATTCTCCACGGAGCTGCAAGTTGGATTCAATTACTGTCTCTTGTGAAGCGGTGGGCGACACGGAAGAGCAGAAGATACGTCCGTGAATGAAGCAGAACAACGGCACAAACAAAAGATACTCAAAAGTGACGGAAGAGCCAGCGAAATGCTGAACTATACCTACTTCTCTGGAAGCGCCACTCCAACCCACCATGCAGCCCCTTTAACTGAAATGCGCTGCTACCTGCCCCGCCCACCGGGATTCTGACTACTGCCTATCCAAATCTTTGCTACACCCACTTGCAGTAGAACTTGAAAACGCGCCCAGTTTAACACAGTAACCCTTCGAAAGCGAGCCGTGATTTAGAATAGAATAGAATAGAATAGAAACCTTGGAGGTCTTCTAGTCCAGCCCCCTGCTCAAGCAGGAGAACCTGCCACCAGAATTGGTTGCTACGGAACGTCACTCAAACCGCCCCGTTTCACGCGGACGGTGACGGGCAGCGGCCATCTTACGAAAGTCTTTGGCGCGCGGGATAGCTGGGGCTTCGTCGCAGCAGCTTTGGAAGGTGAGACGGGAAGGCTCTTCCCTGTATTTGGCCTTGGGGATTGCTTGTCTGCCTTTTGCAGGTTTATCGTTAATGCACCCAATTCAATTCCAGTCAGCGCTAATGGTTGAAGCTGCGGGATATTTCCTTTCTTGAGCATAAGCTGCCCACATGTGGGTTATACTGTCTGTAACAAAAAAGCAGGCAAGGTTGCTTCGCGTCTTGAAAACCCGGAGTTGCTCTCTTATTGGTCGTATTCTCTGGCTTTTCAGCCTCAGTTTAATCTCTTTCCCGCAACTCCAGAGCCGCGATGTTTTAATGCTTAAATGTCTAAATGGTTTTCTGGGCAAACTTCTCTGCGGTTCTTTCTTCTGCCTTCTCCAACCAGGGTTTTTGGACTGATTCTGTTCTGCGTTTATTTGATGGTTATTGCCATTTCTCTTTAGCGTTACCAAAGATTCTGTTTCGGTCGTTATCCGTTGCATTTATATCCATCCATCCTTTTCTCCCAATGTTCAGCATCTCATCCAGTGAGCCCCGTAGCTGAACGGGAATTTGAACCCTACACTGGGTCTTCTTTGATTATAAATTGATTAAATAAACCATGATCCTTTATCTTTATCATCTTTTTTTGCTTTTCTTTCTTTTTCGATGAAAAGCTTGTAGGTAACCTTACACACACAAACCGTATTCTCTAATATGCTCTTTGCTAAAAATTTAGTGATGTTTTTTACTACAGGTAGTCCTCGATTTATGACCACATTTTTTGTTGCCAAGTGAAACTTTTGTTAACTGAATTTTGCTCCATTTTACGACCTTTTATGCCACAGTTATTAAATGAATAGCTGCAGTTAGTAACATGGTTGTTAAGTGAATCTGGCTTCCTAATTGACTTTGCTTGTAAGAAGATGACCAAAGATTATCGTATGATCCCAGGACACCGCAACTGTCATGAATATGAATCAGTTGCCAAGCATCTGAATTTTGATCATGTGACTATGGGCATACTGCAACTGTCATGTGAAAAATGGTTATAAGTCACTTTTTTTAGCGGGGTTGTAACTTTGAACAATCACTAAATAATCTGTTGTAATCAAAGACTATCTGTACAATACTGAGTTCCTAAGACATTTTAGTCATCCTGTAATGGCATCCGGATGTGCTATTTGTAGCTAATCCATCAAAATACACTTTGATAGGACTATTGAAAATCCTGGACCATTGCAGCCAGTGGTTTGGAGATCACTCATTCCCTCATTTTCTCCCAGTGTGTTAAAGACAGTTCCATATTTTTCAGCTAGCCTGAAAAGTTACATTTCAAATATCTGGAGGGCTTTGGCTGGGAATAGTATCTGACAGTATTAACTAAGTGAGAAGTCACGTCCATTAATAGAAGAGCAATTCCAGGCTTCCCATGGCATATTGGGGGGGGGGGAAGGGCAGATTTTCTGGAGTTTTAAAGACCTCTGAGCATATATTAATCCCCACTATAGTTGATGCTGGTGAGCCCTGGCCATACTTTTTGCATTTCTGAGCTCAATAAATCAAGGATGCTTGGCTTGATTTACCTTCGCCTAGGCGCGATTATAGACACCAATCTCTGCAAGGTCTACATGTCGCCAGAACGTCGAGACAGCATCCGGGTCCTGATCAGGCAGGCACGAAGGGAGCGTGTGGTCACGCTGGCCACACTTTCCCAACTGTTAGGAAAGATGGTCTCTTGTATGGGGATAGTGACATGGGCCAGGCTACACTCCAGAACCCTTCAATGGTTCTTGCTCCCATTTCAGAGACAGGGCACCAGCTCCTCCAACCAGAGGGTCTTTGTTCAGCCTCATACCCTAGAGTCCCTTCAGTGGTGGACCTCCCCAGTGATAGCCAAAGGCTTTCTAATTAGGGAACCAGCCAGTCTTATCCTAACAACGGACGCCAGTCTGTTCGGCTGGGGGGCACACCTACACTCACAGCTCAGGGGCGATGATTACAGTCAGACCTCAAACACAACATAAACTGACTAGAGCTCAGAGCCATACATCTGGTACTACGCCACTTCAGCGACCGAGTGGCGGGACAACATGTCCTAGTGCTCACAGACAATGTGGCAGCGAAAGCCCATGTGAACCGGCAGGGGGGTACTCGGTCCAGGTCCCTCATGAACGAGGCCCAGCTGCTGAATACTTGGGCAGAAACCAACCTCTCCTCCCTCAAAGCAGAGCACATACCAGGAGAGGCAAACCAGCAAGCGGACTTCTTGAACAGGTCAACAGTGGATCACTCAGAGTAGCGCCTGCATCCCGGTCTATTCAGAGAGATCTCGGAGAGGTTTGGACTTCCAGTGCTGGACCTGTTTGCCTCCCCGGCAAACGCCCAACACCCGAGGTTTTTGTTCCCGTTCCCTTCTCCAGGGGTGGAGCAGGCCCTGCTCTATGCCTTTCCCCCTCTCCCTTTTGCTCCAGGCCATCATTTGGAAGATACTACAGGAACGGGCAGAGGTGATATTAATTGCTCCACACTGGCCGAGATGACCATGGTTTGCCGACCTCGTGAGCCTTTCCATCTCTCTGCAGTGGAGGATTCCTCCAGATTGTGTGGCACTCAGCCAGGGGGCTCTACAGCCTCCGGACTCTCAGTGGCTCCAGTTAGCCACCTGGCACTTGAACGGCACTCCTGACACAAGAGTCCTATCCGGCGGGCATTATCTCCATGATTCAGGCTTCCAGGAGAGTGATCCAGCAAGTGGTGCCATCAAGTGGGACACAGGCCCAGACCGATTCCCTCACCTAGGGAAAGAGTAGCTTTGATATGTCCCATTCGTGGATTCTCCATCCTCATGCTGGAGAAGGGGCGTTGTCTTACCTGAACACCTTTTCTCAGCATGATGATGGAGAATCCACATCCACCCCTTTAGGTCTGTCAGAGCCTGTGTTAGGGGTAAGGGAGCCAACACATCGGACTACCATCAATGGTTTCCCCTTCGTCGTGTCTGGGAGGTACTAAGGCCCAGCAGGAGGCATGGCTACTTTATCAGACTTAGTCTAATTGGGCAGGAAGACAGTCAAAACCCATTCGTGGATTCTCCCATCATCATGCTGAGAAAAGGCGTTCAGGTAAGACAACACCCCTTCTATCTATTCCTCTTTTCTCTTCCTAGAACATAATAGATTAGCATTCTCTAAGCCTTCTTTCTTTGGTGTGTCCTTCCCAGAAAAATCTGCTACATATACTGAGATCTGTAACCCAAAAATACAAATGTAATATTCTTTCTTCTTGCCTTCATTCGTAGAATGCCTCCCAAGGGGCGGAAAAGGAAGGCAGCGATCCCTCAAGCAGAAGCCACAGCATCCAGTGGAGAGGGAGCCAATGATGTGAAGAAATTGCCCAAGATTCGGAAGAATGAAGGACCTGGAGACCTTCATGTGACAATTGAGCACTGGTAAAAGAACCTTGACATATTGCCTACATATTGAAAGGGATCAGTCAGATATCTTGCTTCAGAATAACTTTTTTTCCTCATTCTGCAAATGATTATTGGACCTGTAATAGGTGTTCAGTAACAAAAATTAATAATGTGAATTTTAATTGATTGTGTTTGCCGTGAAAAATAAGTTTTGTGAAGATGGGTGGATATTTCATTTCTTTTTAAATTGGTGCATATATGTCCTAACAGTTGCTTAGAGCTTCCTTCTTTTTGGTGTTCCAGGAATTCTAGAAATTGAAGCATCGATAGATCTGGAGATTCCTGACTGGAGATGTTTTAGATTCATGTCCCCCAAATTAGGAAAGAATCCCATTTGTTCTTAAAAGTACAGTAAATATATTAAAACAGCTTTAAAAATAAATTCTGCTGACCACTCAAATAGAAATTCATTTTAATTCAGGAGTTTTTTAACGTTTTGAGATTACAGAACTTGTTAATTTAAAAATTCTGGAATCCTGATCTCAAGAGAAAGCTCTAAAATAGAAAATTATTTGAGTTCAAGGGTTTTCTTTTCCTTTTTGCTATTAGTTTTTCAAAGAACCCCATCAAGTTCTCATGGAACTTTAGAGTTCTATAAAATACAGGTTTTTGTTTAAAAAAAAAGCTTTAATTGATTTAACCCTATAGCCTGCATGGAATTTGTTTTTAATCTAATATTTCATTGCAATATCGGGCCTCAGTGCAATGAACTTTGCATGCAGTGGACCAAATTGCTGTAGCTATTGCTATTTTTCTTTAGTTTAATGGACATGTGTGTATAATAGACAACTATGCCCATCTCCAAATAAAATATTAAAGTGAAGTTTTTGTTACGAAATAAAAAGAGAAAGATTAGATGGACTGCTAAATATGGTGGGAACTTAGTTCTTTTAAAGTTCCACAGGACTTTCAAATAATAGTTCATATTCATTCTATAGTATTAAAATGTTTTTTCCTCTTTTTTTTTCAATATTGACAGTAAAAGCTGACGAGTCTTTGGACGTAGAGCTGAGGCTGTCAGCCAAGAGCTGGGCCTGGCCTTTCCTGACATCCTTGTGGAGATCAACCTTGAAAAGCCCCGGAGAAATAGCTTTGAAGTGGTTCTCTTGAAAAAAGATGGCACCAGTGAGTTATTCTGTTGCTTATGGGAATGGGATGGATAAGACTGTTGGTTTGTAATCTCAATGCTAACCATTGTTTAGTTCAGTCTATTGAATATACTGCAATTGGTTTATTAAATTAAGCCAGTTTCCGAGGTTTCCATGGTAAAAGCCATGCCAGTTAGTATTGCTGAGTTTGCCCTACAACATACTTGACCACAAGTAGCACAGTTCATGAATGAAACCTGTGATCAACTTCTCAGGAATTGTTCCATTTACTTGGACGATGTTACAGAATGGGCTTAATTATATGCCATCAAGTTGGTGTAAACTCTTGGTGACCTCACTGATAGATTTTTCTCCATGATACTCTGTCTCCCATCTGGCCCTTCAGATCTTTCAAAGGTACAACTGAGTCCATGTACCTTATTGCAGATCGTCTTCTTTCTCTCTTTCCTTCCACCTTTCATAGCTTTATAGACTTCTCTAGAGTTTTTTTATAATGTGCCCACATTTTTCTAATTTGAACTTGATTGTTGATTTGTTTTATGCTCTATTTGTTTAACATAGCATTTGATAATCATGGCAGTCTTGAGTTTTCTCCAACACCAAAGTTCAAAAGCCTCGGTACTCTTTCTAGCCTACTTCTTCAAAGTCCAAATTTTGTTTCCATAGAGTGTCACAGGGGAAAACTTCTGTCTGTTGTATCTATTATCTATATGCTTTGATCTTCATCATATTCAATATTAGTCCCATATTTTCAGTGTTTATGACTTTTTATTATAATAGTGCTACAATGTGTACATTTCACAGTATGGGTGTGAAAGTGGGTATTGAAGCATAGCACCAGACTACCCGCTATCAGTAACATAACATCCACGATGTCAGTGTGTTGCTTCTCTAAAAAAACACTCTTTCATTCCCCTAAAATAGCCAAGAGACAAGATTTTCTATGAGAGCAGCAAAATATTGCACAATATTTTATGATGTATTCCTGAAATCTCAGAGTTGCATTGAGTTACTCAGAACTTATATAAATGTGATGCGCAGACATAAAGAGATGATGCAGCAGAATAAAAGTTACAGCCTAGAAAGATATGTTAACTTTGTTCTGCTTCATCATATCTTATGTTCTGCTTCATCATATCTTATGTCTGGACATTATTATGTAATGCAGTTTTGAAATGAGAAATAGCAGACTCTTCCAATTAATACCATGTTTTCCCTTAAATAATTACCACTTGTTAACTGTGTTCCCTATGGTACTGACTACAGGATGAGCAGGAAATGCAAAGTGGCTAAAAACATGTACTGTGTCTTCAAGACAGGAGATTGATGAGTGCACTAATCATGCCCTATCTTGTCACTCTATACATATATAGTGAGTAGCTTTCTCCATGAAGATGTTCCATAGTGTTCAAGAAAAAGTTGGGAAATGGAGATTCTCAAATGGTGGTGAATTTCCACAGCTAAGAAGATGGTTTGTTGCAGAGAGTCACTTAAAAAAAAACATGGAAGAGAACAAGAATGCAGATGGAAGTGAAACTACGTAGTATGAACAGAACAAGATGTTCCAAGCATACTACTCTGGGAATAAGAGCTGAAGTTTATGAGATTTGCTATAGAATAAACAAGCTTAGGTTTGTTTGTTTGTTCAATTTCTATAGCCACCCATCTCAATAACTGGGCAGCTTACTATTAAAAAAAATACTATGATTAGAAAACTATAAAAATCATCCAAAATATATAGAGAGCAGCTGCGATACTTGGCCAGTTAACAAATAAGTCAGGAAACTGTGCCCTTACCACATTCAGCACAGAGAGGCTTTTAGAGCTTTATGAAAGATCTAATAGTTTTGAGGCCATTCTAATCTCCCAAGAGGAGGATATTTCACAGGGCAGAGTCTACTACAGAAAAGGCCCATTTTCTACTCCTTGCCAGCCAAAACTCTTTGGCTGACGGGATGTGCAACATACTCGGTCTGTTAGATTGAATTGGACAGGTAGAGACGCTTGAAAAAGGCGGTCCCTTGCTACTTATTATCATATCTGGTGGTCGTGTAAAAATATAAAAGCTTTTTGGATTAAGATATGGTGGAATATTCAAAGAATTTTTAGAAGGAGGGTAAAATTTACCCCACAATCGTTTTTGTTAGGTATTGTTATTGATTGTGATACTAAAGAGACCATATTGATGTTAAATTTAATTACAGCCACAAGGTTGTTAGTAGGACAATGTTGGAAGAAGGAATCTTTGCCTGCTTTGCAAGAGTGGTTTTTTAAAGTTTCTTATTTGGCAGAAATGGCAAAGATTTCGGCTTTTTTGAAGGATCAATCGCAAGAGAAGTATTTTGTGGTATGGAAAAAATGGATAGATTTTATACAATATAAGTTGGATGTAAAAAAAATATTATTTAGTTTTTCAATAACTTATATTTAAAATTTAAAATATTTTATAGACTTTATTCTTTTTTATTTTTATTTTTATTTTTATTATATTTTCTTTTATCTTTTTCTTTTTTCTTTTTTTTATTCTTTTTTCTTTAAAGCATTTTTCTTTTGGTATTTATGTTTTTCTATACATATATTATTGTTAATTATTTTATAATTTGTTCAATTAATGTATTTAGATTTATTCATGGTTTATATCTTTTTTAAGATTTTTTGAAGAAATTTCAATTAAGCCTGTATTCAGCTCTGGGAAGGTCGGGGGAGGGAATGGGGAGGTTTGGGGAAGTGTTGTTTTGTTTTTGTAAAATTTTAAAAAAAATTCAATAAAAAAAAAAAGAAAAAGGCGGTCCCTCAGGTAACCCAGTCCCAGGCCAGGTAGGGCTTTTAAAAGTGACTTGTACCCGGAAACATACAGGTAACCAATGCAGCTCTTCCAGTACTAGTGTTATGTGTACTATATCTAGCACCATTTACTACCTGCACCAGCTGAAATTTCTGAATGCTCTTCAGAGGCATCCCCATGTAGACTGTGTTGCAGTAGTCTTAATGAGAGGTTACAAGGGCATGAGTCACTGAGCAGGGCCTTCCGGTCCAGGATTAAGCATAACTGACACACTTCCCAAGGTGTGCAAAGGTTCTCTTAGCTATGGCTGCCACCGTTGGGCAGAAGCTGTGAGTCTAGGAGGACCCCCAGATTGCACATAGGCCTGTCAAAGGTACTGCAACCCCATCCAGGACTAAAGATGGAAGAATCTTATCTCCGGAAGGTCCAAATACCCACCGCCACTCTGTCTTGCTAGGGTTGAGTGGGAGTTCATTTCACCCCATCTGGTCCCCAACAGCCACCAGACACCGGGATAGGGCATCAACAGCATTACTCAAGAAGCATGGGGTAGATATATAAAGCTGCATGTTGTCTGCATATTGATATCCACCGAAACCAGTGAATCATCTCACCCAGCAACCTCATTTACTTGTTAAGTAGAAGGAAAGAGAAGTTAAGTAGAAGGAGATTCTGGGCACCCTACAAAGTACCCCTACTTTGGGCTGGATCTCTCCTCCTATCAACACCAACTGGAACCAGTCCGAGAGAAAGGAAGAAAACTAGCACAATACACTGTTCCCCACACCTGGTTCTTGAAACTGGCTCTGAAGGATACCATAATTGATGGTACTGAACACCACTGAGGTAAAAAGAGACAGGATGGGTGCACACCCTCCATCCTGATCCTGCCAGAGGCCATTTAAGATCATCTTCCTTTCAATTGATAAATGTTGTATTTCAGACATGAAAAATAGAGGTGATGTAATGAATATATTATTCATTATAATGAATGGCTATGCCACAATTTCATATGGGTCTGGTTTATTTTGCTACAATTACCTTCAGTTCTTCTTATGAGCCGTATTGCGGAAGCTTTCACTTTTTTTCATTATACAAATCTTTCTCTTCACTCAGTCCCACAAACACAGCGCAAAGCTTGAACATCAAGCTTCTGCCCAGCTTGGCAGAAAAAAAATGAGGTTGTTTGGAGATGAACAGTGTCTGGCTGCAAGTAGCCCCATTTCTTTTGAAGGTAGTTGATCAGCGAATTCAATTGTTTACACACCATGTGACTACTTGGCAGTATGTATGGGATGTACTGACATTGTATAATCCAAGTACTGGTGATTGCCTTTTGTGTTAATTATTTTTAGAGACAGAGCTATGGAGTGGTCTTAAAAAAGGGCCACCCCGCAAACTGAAATTCCCAGAACCCAGCAACATCGTTGAAATGGTGAAGCACAACTTAAACTAAAGTCAACAATGATGGAATAGGAGCAAAGTGTAAGTTTACATCCAGAATGGCTGGGGTGTGCGTGTGTGTGTGCTGAAGTGTCTCTGCAAACACCCTAGTTTTGATCACGTGACTACGGGGCACTGCAGCGGCCATAACTTCAGGCACCAGTCATAACTCTCTTTGTTCAATGCCACCATAATTTTGAAGGGTTAATGAATGGTCATTACATCGAGGATTGCCTCAAGACAAATAAAATGTCTTGAACCCTGTGCCAATCAACTGGCTCTTATATAATATTTGAACAAATGTACTTGGAGATCATTCATCACAATACCTAAAATGAGTCATAGTTTACATCTCTGGAACCTTAAATTCTATATACTGTGGGAACATCTCTTAGGGTTGTACCATGGATAGTCATGTGCATCTGTGCTGCGTGGTTTAGAAATGTAATTAAAACCATTGTACACTTGGAAGTTGTAAGTGATGCTGTGAACTGGTGAGTAGGAGCTATGCCTAAAAGCCATCTTTTGTTTTCTGCAGCCTCTACGACTGTCCGTTTGTCCTGTGAGCTGGAGCATTTATGATGAGATATGATGAAGTGGGGTAAACTCTGGTCGTATCTCTGAAATTGCTGCTCCTCCTTTACAAGAAAGAATGGACCAGATGTTATCCTTTCCTGACCCACCATCTTTTCAAATGTTTGTTACTCCTGGGAACATTTTGGGAAAGAACTTTATTTTCAATAAAGCTTAACCGCCTTCCTCTATTTTTCGTTCAGTTCTGTCCTGTGAAATAAAGGTGTCATATGAGATTCTGACGTGGCATAGTTTAGATCAGTGGTTCTCAACCTTTTTATACGGCGACCCCCGGTCACACGGACGCGCCGCACATGCGCAGCGGCGCCCCCTGAGGGGGAAAAATGGCGGATCGCGTTGTTTGGCGACCCCCATAAAATGGTCGTTCGACCCCAAATGGGGTCGCGACCCATAGGTTGAGAACCGCTGGTTTAGATTGATCGAATTTTGTGAATTAAAGTTGCACATCTGTATTCACATGCCATTTCACCTGCTGAAGTGTTAACTTACCTTCCCAAGCATATGCACGACTTCTGAAAATGTATTTTTCTTTTTTTACTATTGTACTTTTATCCATACCACAGCTCCAGGCTACAATGCTAATATTTTATCCTGTATTTTTTCCCCCAATAAAAACCTAAATATATGCTTGTTTGCTAGTGGTATTTTAGAAGTGGTACTTAAAATCTCTACAGTATTTGGTCCCTCTAGAATTGAATGAAATCCAAAGCTATTTAGGATTGTGTTGGCAGAGAAAAAGGAAGAATTCTTCTCAACTACTTGTTTTACTTCACCTTTCCCTTAACTCCAGGGTCATGACAGTATAATGAATCCTGAAAACCCAAGTTTCTTCTCTGCGTTGTTTTGGATTTTTTTTTTTTTTTTTTTTTAAAAATTGACTAAGGAATGAGAGCCAAATTGGAGTATCCAAACCATTCTGCTGCAGGCCATAAATTGCTAATTGCAATCTTTAAACCTATTTTTCTCTTGATTAAAGAAGCAATGGCTACTAGTTTTCATTTTTCTCTTTTCCTTTTATTTATACTATTATATTACTAGTAGCAGTCCTCAGCCTTTGAAATTTTAATATTTAATCATTTAATCCACATGCTTTCCCCTATGCACAAAATACCTGCTCAAGATAGTTAACTTTATTATCAACTTCTAGTTTATTATGCTGACTTTATAAATCTTCCCTATTCTTACCCAACAATTTGTATTATTTGTGTGTACTCATTGTTTTATTTCCTTTAGCCATATTCATTATCTCCTTTAGCCGTATTCATTGTTTTATTTCCACAAGATGGCTTCAATGTAAATATGATACAAAGCACCAAGAAAACTTAGAATTTTTATTTGAACAAGTTACAACTCAATATTTATTCCAGTCTTTGTGCCCTCTACTCTTCAGAATGTTCTGCATACATGAAGAGCTTTGGGTTGTGAGAGAAGGAAGTATTTGGCACAGCTTCGTGGAGGTATAGGTCACTGCACTTGAATACACTTCTCTGTGAAGAAGCTGCAAACACAAGGGAGATGGTTTCAATGAACAACAAGCAACTTGGCAATTATTCTCAAGCCTCTAGGGAGCCATCTCTTTTTTAAAATACAGAAAGTCAGCAAGGCACTTAGTTCCCTCTGTATCAGTGTTTAAATGCTGCAGGCCACTTATCAGGAGAAAAATCGGCTCAATTCAAGCAAGCTAAAAGCAGGAGAAAGGGGTGCTGCTTCCAGCAACGTACTGGTTTTAAGAGAATTGACATATACAGCAAAGCATCTACTGCTGCAAGTGCTGTTGAGTTGGTACTGTGTGATCTCCAGTAACGCGAGATCAGGAGATTCTCTGCTGGCCTTCCTAGTTCCAATCTGACTTTTAAACAATAATAATAATAATGAAGCATTGAACTGACAAGAGCCAGTACAAAGAGGGCAGTTCTTATCCTCTTGCCAAGTCCTTTATATTGCCTTTGAACTCCTAACTCAAGGTAGTAGCTCCCAGCTTGGGATAAAACAATCATCCTAACAGCAATGAATTTTATTTCCAAGTTTGGTTAATTCACTAGCCATTAAATAAAACATTTAAAAATATTAAAGGGAAGCACAGAACCTAAAACAGTTGAGAACAACACTGTTTCACAAAAGAGCTCTTCCCAGAAAACATAATTTTGTCCTCGCGCTTTAAACACTGACTGGCATTTTAAAATCTTGTGTTTACTATAAGACAATTACACTATGATCTATAAAGGAAATTAAGTAGAACACACTTGTGTAAAATTATTACCAGCCCCAAGATGTTTCTCAACATAAAACGTTATTACTTTTCATAGAAGTAATGCTGTAGATTTCTTGTAGGTTACCTATCCCACAATAGAGCAGAAGAACCCCGGCATCCTGGAAGGGTGGCCTGTACGCAAAGAATAGATTATATCAATGTCACGGTCATGATTAAAGGAGGCTGATAATTGGTGATAATGAAGCAGCCTCCCCCCAGCTTGATTTTAAAGGGGGCTTTTCCATCATCTGATCAAAATACTCAAAAACATTATGGAATCTATTAATTGCTTTTTGTGGCATGGAATTTTAAGTGCAATACTGTCTGCTAGCCCACCTCACCAATTTCTTGCCACTACTTGCACTCACTAGTTCAGAACATCCACTTCAGTTTCAGATATAGGAGAAGGATCAGGCCGGACACATTCAATATTAAGAAAGAGGTCCTCTACCCCACCAATGTCTATGGTTTCTTCTTCTAGGCTGTCTAAGAAAGATGGCAGCTTGCAGTCCAAGTTGTGCTGCACAGGGTTGCTCAGAACAGCTTCAGTAAGTGACTTTGTATCTGAGATTCCCATATCATAAGTTAGAGGTCCTTGATCCTCATCACCTGTCCAAGTGACAGACAAAGGCTCAGCACATTTTGCAGTCCCATTTGTAGATTCAGACAGCTGACACTGAGCCGTTGCCCAATCCCCCAATTGGGGAGAGGCCGATCTGGACAAGGAAAGGCACTCACCATTAGGCTCAGGTGTTACAAGAGGAAGACAGTTAAGGACAGGGTCCAACAAAGAGCTCCCATTTGTTGAGTCACAAGCTTCAGTAATTTTTATCTTGTCCAACTGTGGACCTACTGTACAACATCTCTCTTTTTCTTCAATTTCAATGTTCCCCAGGACATTCTCATTTTCCTGGGGTGAAGCACACAGGCTTTGTGTAATAGTGGTGCTCTGGATTCCCTCAGTGGCATCCTCATCAGCCAGAAGCAAGTCTAGCATCTGTTCCAACTCTCCAGCTGAAGCAAGGCTGTCATACTGCTCTTCCTTGACCAGATGATCCAGCACAAATGCCTCCAGGTCATAATGATTCTCAGCAGCATCAGCTCCTTCATCTAAGGCCACCTTCTTCTCAGGTAGTTCTGGCTGTTGTTTTATCACACTTTTGTCAGGAGCCGGTGCGGCCTCAGCAGTTGCAGGGAGCAGTTTAGCAGAGCAAGCCAACTGCTGCACATCTGCGACTTCTGGTTTAGGATGTCTGATTTGAGATTGGGAGCCCTCATCTTTCAAAGTACGCACACCGTTTGCCACCACTGTTGGCTGCACAGCAGGCGATTCATGCACCACTTCCCAGCAGCTGCCATTGATAACTTTTCTGAGCTTTACTCGGCCTATGTGACCTATTTCTTGGGGACAGTTTGGGCAGGGTGTTGGATCACTGGGGATGCGCTTTCTGCCTTTAGATTTTGGAAGAAGAGGGGGGCTTCTGAAGTCACAAAAATGGATACTATCTTCTTTTTTTGTCTCATCCTTCCCAGGACATTTTTGTCTCCAGAGACGTCTAACGGATCTTGGCGATTTGCTGGATGTCACAGTGCAATGGTCTTTGGTGGCACAAGGCGTAGACAGAGGTGGGAAGGAAAGCTTTGGACGGCTGAGCTTTATCTTTTTTGAAGTCTGCAAACCGGCTCTAGTGTGTGTCTCTCCAGTCTCAGTCTCCTTTCTGTGCAGACCACCATTCTCATTATTGGCCATTATATTCCTTATTGTGCCTGCAGGGCGTTTTTTAACTTTTGTTTTCTGGGGATCAGCAGTAATTGTTTGGCCTTTTGAAATCTGTTTGTCACTACTTAGCAATGCTGTAGTAAGCTTTTGCTTCTTTAGGTCCTTCTGATCGGTACTGTTGTGGCTACTTATTTCTTTGGAGCATGATATAAAATTATTGCTGGATGTTGCTTGCTTGCCTGCAGCTAGCCAGGATGTCAAGCTACCTCCAGAGGGAGCAGAAGAATGAATTAAACTTGTCTCTGATGTGGACATTGGATTGGTTATCTGCAAACAGTTCCTGTTTAAACGACGGCCCAATGTTTTTTTTACTAATTTTCCTCCCTCTAACTGTAAAGAATCAAGTTCTGACACCTGAAGCTGTCGTGCAGCTGCAAGAATATCCTGAGCTTCTTCCCTGGACACCTCCATTTCAGATGTATAGAGGAAATCTACCAATTTACGCAACGTCCCAATTTTCAGCCCCCGAATTTCCAGCACCACCTTGTGTCCCTTGGGGGGCATTTCTCGCTCCAACTGCTCTGTGAAGAAGGGGCTGCAGGCTGACAGGATGCAACAATGAGCTGGAACGGCTTCGCCTACAAAGAACACCATTATTAGCAGGTACTTTACCAGTGGACCCTCAATTTTGACTGAAGATGTTCTCCATGGGCTAGTCTTGAAATTCTCCCACAGCCAATACATAATGTCAGGAAAGTGAGAATTGTACTGGGTCAGGGCAAAGACATATCTAGTCCTAAATTCTGTTCCCAGAGCAGCTAACCAGAAGCACTTTAGGAAGCCTATTTTACTTGCCCTGGCAAGAAATGGAAGGAACATGCTAAATCAAATACCTACATACACCTTGAAGCAACCTCCCCAAGCAACTGTCTTTGCTCCCTTTTTCTGACAGAAGTGCAAAGATGTGAAAAGGCAGGGTATCAGAGAGGAATCTGGACTGCAGTGGAAGATGACAGGGTAGATGAAAAGGCTTGGTCCATTCACCAGTTATTGCCATTCCCAGTACACAGATCATTGATCATAGATGATTTAATTTTAAGCATACTAATTTAAATAATGTATTTAATTATATTTAAGTATTCTAAATTGCATTTTTCACACGTTAATTTAAAATAGTTGTACTTCTAAAACAAAATTGCAAGAACAGGGTTCCTGTATAAAAAGAGATATTTTAGCTCATTCCATCCTTCCTTTTACATTAATTTACTGGGTAGTGTTAAAGTATACATTTTAATAAATAAAATCATACCTGCATCTTCCCTAACTAAATTTGCTTAGAGTTCTTAGACTAGTAATGCTTCTTTAAGACAAATGCCTAGCAATTTGGTCTAATTTGGGGACAACTGAGTAACAAAACAATTGCAAACTGTACAAACTACCATTATGTATTTTATTCATAACTAACAAGATATTAAACAAATCCATAGGCATGCCGGAGGTAAAATTAAGCACCTCAAATGGTTCCATAGATTTCAATGGAAGAATTCAACACAAATAAAAATAACAAGTAACAATAGCAGCACTGCAAATAACTTCCCTGGATCTATCACACATTTCTTTGCAAAATTTCACTACGGCTAAATGTTTCAAGTTCAAGAGTTTAATACAAGTAGTCCTCAATTTACAATCACAATTGAGCCCAAATTTTCTGTTGCTAAGCAAGACAGTTGTTAACTGGGTATTGTCCCATTTTATGATCTTTCTTGCCACAGTTGTTAAGTGAATCACTGCAGTTATTAATAACACTGTTATAAAGTGAATCTGACTTTCCCATTGATTTTGCTTGTCAGAAGGTGAGCTGAGTTTCAATGTGGAGAAAAGCAAAGTTTTACATTTAAGCAGGAAAAATCAAAGGTATAAATACAGATTGGACAAGATCTGACTTAAAAACAGTGACAGTGAGAGGGACCATGGAGTCCTAGTGGACGATCATTTGACTATGAGCCAGCAGTGTGCAACCGCCGCCAAAAAAGCTAATACAATCCTGGGTTTATAAACAGAGGCATAGAATCAAGATCATGCGAAGTATTAGTACTTGCAAAGCTCTAATAAAATTTCAGCCAAAATACAACTTGATCCATTCTATTTATTTTTGGGTACCTATCTCTCAGATTTTTTTAAAAAATTAGTACCTTCTGCTTGTAGGACAACATCACAAAATAAGTCAGCCCTTTGCTGGCGATGGAGTTGTAGGAACACCATACGGAGTAGACGAGAATTCCTATACAGAATCTTGGGATTTGCAGCTGAAGAAGTCATGGTAACAGAACCTTCCTTCATCGTATACCAGATTTCTGTCAAACAAATATTTGTCCAGGTTAGCACTGCAGCTAAAGTCTACGCTCAATTCTCATTGAACAAAGTTGAATAGCATTTATTCCAAGTAAATTCTGAATTTAATCTGGTAGTGTGTTATATCAGCAGTGTTCTGCTAATATATTATCAATGGATATTTTCTGAAAGACATTTTTAAACTGCCTAAATTGCCTAGAAGAAAATAGACTTATGGATTTTTCAATCTTGCCGTTGATCATTATATTAAACAAAAGTCCTAAAATATCAGGGCAGAACAATTCAAATTCCATGTATCATTACATCTGATATGTAACTGCTACATTAGCAATTTTGCTAAATGTCAAACTTTCTTCAAAGCTTTATGAAACAAGAAGGCACTGCTTAATTCAGAACCCTGGCATTCCATGAGTAATTAGTTGTTCTAAAATATATTCCTTTACATAAACAAAACTGTACTTAAAATTTACAGAGGGGTTTATTCCTCTTATCATGCAACTATATTTCAAAATGTGTCTAGTGTAGAGAAAAAAGTGCCACTTGTGGAAAACATACATTCTACTGCCAGGGGTTTGTGGTTTATCTGGGGCACGAGGCAGTGGCACAGAATGAAGGCTTTAATGACCGTAAATGCAGTTAATCTAAATTTGCTAAATAAAGTTATGGTTATTTCCTACATATTTGATAATTTTCCTTTTCTAGTCACATTAAAAATTAGATTTTGGAGGTGCTCAGGACTGTGACCCTTGGACTTGGGTCTGAGCATCCTTGTTTAAAACAGGACCATGCAACTTTCATAAAATCCATCCCAGATTTTAGGTGGTATATAAGCCACATTACCAAATGGATGTGGCCAGGGGCTATTTGAGAAACAAATTCAAAGATTTTAGGGAATCTTTAGGAATTTATAAGGTTTAAATATTTCCCTCAAAAGGGAAAAAGGAGCAAACTTTTCACTTCATCTACTGAGGACCAAAATAGGAAACAGATTGATTGCAAGTTCTGTATTAATGTATAGCTTACAGAAGTCACAAATGAACAAGAATATGCATATAATTCAAGAAATCAAAAAAATGTCAAACATTCCTCATCAAAACCTGTTGTTAAAATAATCTTGTAACCAGTGCTTTTTTTGTAAAAAAAAAAAAAAAAAAAAAAAGGTGCTGGAATTCACACATGTCATACAACCTGCCTTGCCTACCCTACAAGATTCCATCCCCAAAAGGTGCCGGAACTCTGTTCTGGGAGTTCTATGACAAAAAAAGTCCTGCTTGTAATAATCAAATTAGGCAAGCTATTCACTAATTTATGTAACAGACTAGTTATACTGTTGTTAAATGGAATGCCTTCAGCAAATAACTAAACCACTTATTTGGTTTGGGCTTAACATCTGAATTCAGCCAACTATTTTTTTCTTAGTTAACCAAACCATGGCTTAACATATATTTCCATTCACTGGGCACATTCACGTAACAGATCTTCGAAAGTCTGGCATTACCTGCAAATAAATGATCTACCCAGTAATCCAGCACCAAAAAAGTCAGTAATTTAGGCTTACTCTGGAAACAGTCATTCTTGCTACTGTTCCAGCCATCTTCCCAGATATTAAAAGACTAGTTTGAACTATTTGCCTTCGCTCACCTTCTTGTTCCTCTCCTCCCAGATACTGGGAGAAAGAGAATCAGAGATGGCACAGGTAGACACTCCCCAATTAGCAGCTGTTCTGCCTTCCTGCCTTTGAGTCCAGTAGTCAGGATTATCTTCAAAGTAGCTTTCTTTTCCAGGTACAGGTTGCATAGACAGTCCCAGGTAATTACCCAATAACAAACCTTAAATATAAAGCATGGCTAAGGCATTTTATTTTAACCACATTTTGACCCAGGTTCAAAGTTCATATGGTATAACTTTCAATAACATGGCTTAGTAGTCATGTAGATTTATATCAGGACTCTCCAAACTACGGTCCATGGACTATATCCAGCCCTCTGGAAGTTTCCTTCCAGCCAGCTAGCTCTTCCCATGTGCTATGCTCTGATCCTTTCTAAACAGCATAGGGAGAGAAAGCAGGGCTATAAAGATAGTCCTTGACTTATGACAATTGAGCCCAAAATTTATTCTGCTAAGTAAAAAATTTGTTAAGTGAGTTTTGCCCTATTTTATGAATTTTCTTGTCACATTTGTTAAATGAATCACTGCAGTTGTTAAGTAACACAGTTGGGAATCTGGCTTCCCCATTGACTTTGCTTGTCAGAAGGCTGCAAAAGGTGATCACATGATCCTGGGACACTGCAGCCATCACAAATATGAACGAGTTGTCAGGCATCCAAATGTAAATCACATGACCATGTGGATGCTGCAACAGTTGTGTGAAAAATGGTCATAAGTTACTTTTTTCAATGCCATTGTAACTTCGAACAATCACTAAACAAACTGTTGTAAGTCAAGGACTACCTGTATTCACCACTGTTTAGGAAGAAAGGTAGGATTCCCTCAATTTCTCCAATGGGGGAGAGGATTACAAGCCAGCTGGAGGATTGCTGGATGAAGAAAGGGAAGCATCTTTTAAATCTTGTATCATTGTCCGTACAAGCACAGCATTGTTTCTTTGCAGTTGTCACATTTCTTTTTTGCTGTTTTTGTGAATCATATCACATTAGGCAAAATAAAACATTCATTCAATTAAATTTTATTTGCTCATTTATAAACCTGATTTCCCCCTCCCCAGCCCTCAAATGTTTGCAAAATGTCCAGTTGGCCCTCAGACTGAAAAGCTTGGAGTCCTCGGATTATATCAATGTCATTTAGATGGCTTAGTCAATTGGACATTGCTTATGAACTTCCACTTTCTTTGTAACTTGCTTTTTCTAAAACAACAAAAAATAAAACATAGCTACCATGTCTCTCCTTCCAAATCCCATTACCTGGCATTTAATAGGCAGCTCAATCTAGGGGGTATATTCCTTTGTTGGTAATAATCAGTCATCTTACGGTAACAAAGTTTATAAATTGCATGCTATGCGAAATAAAATTTCCTGTGCTCAATAATCTGCCAGTTTCATTGTATAAACCCTCAATTTATCCATATTTAAAATTGCTTCTTTTTTTTTAGTCCAAGTTATTTCAAAATAATTTTTTACCTGTTATTTTAAATGTACAGATACTGATATACCATGGCATTCTAGTTTAGAGGCTCCTTATTTCATATTATATAATTATTCTAATGCTGTTGTATCAATTACTATATTCCAGGTCTCTCTCCTGAACTTATTAAAAGATTACATAATAATGTAATGAATGAAAACTAATTTCTTCACTGTCATAATTTTTTATTGTCATCTCATCATTCTTCCCTCCAAAATCCTCTTAATACTGTAACTATTAAAAAAAGGGAAAACGTGCCAGCCTTATTGCTAATTTTCATTGCTCCTTTCTGTAGTAATTACAAATCAGAACAATCTTATATTTCCCATCCTGTCTTTCTACATACATATTTGTTTCTGATATTGTTGTAAGACAGATCTAGCAACTTCTGAAGCAATTCTAGATACAGGTGCAGATGCAAATTCAGCAAACTCAACAGCTATAATTTTGCATTTTTTCTGTCATTGTAGTGCTTCTCTTAATTGGAGCTTATAGGAAGCAGAATCTTCCAGACATATGTATTAATGGTCCAAATGTATCTTTGCTCATATTCTCATTTTAAAATCAAGAGAACTACTAGTGGGTTTTAAGCAGCACTTATCTAGATTAATGCTGCAATCCTGCATATGCTTACCTAAGAAAAAACCCCACAAAATTTATTTCCAGTCAAACATGTATATGAATGCACAACTTTGCTACCCATGTATCCATAATAGCTTATTTTCTGTCTAAAAACTGTATCCATATTGAATATATATAATCAAATTTATTAAAAGATAATTCAAATTAGATTGGTTATTACCAACATGGATACATATATAATTTGAATTATCTTTTAAATAAGCAAGCAAGCAATTCAACTGAGAGATGTATACTTTACAACTAACCAATTACAAAACTGCCTCACAAAATGGTAGAAGGAAAAGCAGCAGCAAAAATGTAAAACAAGACGAATGTCTAAATGATAATTTACAGCACCTTTCTCTTCAGGGATGTTGGATTCCAACTCCATCATGTTATGCTGAAGATGATAGGAGTTGTAGTCGGACATACCCAGAAGACACTACGGTACTTGGGGAAAGACTGGTTCAAAGTTACCGGGAAAGATTCCATTTTCAGAAATACTCCCTTGCCTCGATACAACTCCTTTCCCACGTATAACTAAGGAGACAGCGGTCCCTTCCCTACTCCTCTCGCTATTCATTCATTCATTCGTGAAGACCCACGGAAGCTTTTCCCCACCTTCACTGTGGGAGCTTCCCTTTCTCGTGCTCCCCAACTCCCACGCTCGCGTGGGTTTGCTTTCCAGCTGCGGCCGACAGGGACAACGTAGCGCCTGCGACACACGGGAGCACGGATACCCGCGCCGGCCCCACCCCAACACCTACTCGCCCCACGCCTCCAGGGCAACGTTCCCAGCAAGAGCGGGAGAAAACCGTACTCGCACGCGCTGGCCACGCCCCCCCCGAGCCTTATCTCGGAAACAGCCCTCCCATTGGCTGTAGTTCCAGCCATTAACCAGAGAGGCTGGCTTTTGGCGGGAGGAATCACGGCTTTTTTAAAAAAAGAAAAAGCGAGGAAAGAAGGGAGCCAAATCGAGGCTATTTTTTTTTTTAAGCGCCCTCCTTATAGTAATCAAAGCTCCGCTTTCTCACATAGTGATGTGAGAAAGGACGAATCAATAACAAAGGTGGCTTTTTTTTTTTTTTTTTGGCTTGTTAAAGGGGCGTTCCATCATTTGCGTTCCTTCCCGGTTTTTAACCACGACTTAGGAATGGGCTCCAGTTCTTTGCGATTCCCGGCTATTTCTAACAAAGAAACTAAGCTACAATATTAATTATTATTTAATAACGTATTAAAGTTATATGCCGCCGAACTCACAACGACTCTGAGCAGTATCTGAGAGTTTACAAGAGGTAGAAGAAAGTTACCCTCTTTCTTAAATCGCTGCAGATCGGGAGGAAAAGGTGCAACCGTGTCCCTTAAAGTAAGCTGTTGCGGTTCTGCGCGTTCTGCCAAGGTGTACAGACCCAGCTGGCCGTCTAGAAAAAACATCATCCATTTAGAATCAATGTTACTCTCTTTGATATGTTGACGATATATATTAGAATAGGGATAAGGCTTTTATCCTAAATACAATTATTTACAAACTTACGTGGACCCCAATATTAAGTAAAATACATCTAGGATACGCACAGGTAAAGTTTACTATATAATAGAGAACTTAGGCATGGCAGACAACAGATGAGTTCACGCTACACAACTGATTTCCTTAATCATGATATACTGAATGCATACATGGGAGCATAATCATAGATAGCAAGCCAGTTTATGACTTAGGGAATGTGAACACAGCCACTTTTTTTATGTTATGGCTACTGAACTCAAATTTTCTTCTACAGGTATTTCTCAGTTTAAACAGTAAGTCATAAGATGACATTTCTTATCAGTTTCCCCCCATAAGTCTCTTCTTGCTGGGCATAAAATCTGCACACTTTTAATTATGTTGCTGGTTACCTTAAGGCATTTAGAATGGAAGATATGAGTATGTGTGTGTAATCTTTCTACATTATTTTAAAAAAATGCAAGATTTTTTTTATTTATTAAACTTACAGGTTGCTCATCTCGCCTAGAGGCAGCTTACAATCAATATGCAAGATTTACTTTTCTCATTACAAAGGAAGATGTGGGGAAAATAGGAGGAGAAAGGTGTGTTGGATATATTGGCCCCTTTGAGTTGTTTGAAAAAATAGTAAAGGTAGGATAGGAATGAAGGAAGAAGAGAAAGAAAGAAAGAAAGAGTTGGTCTCCATGTGCATTTGGAATTTAAATTAGTGATGACACTTACACTTTCTGATGTGATTTTATACAATTATTTTAGCTATCTATTTTTGTTTATTATTTATTTATTATCAAGATTGCAGCCAGTTATCAATATATTGTAAAATAATTTAAATGTGCAAGTGATATGCACAGTTCCTTTCTATCCTCCTGAATATCATGCAAGCATATGTTTGATAAAAATCATGTTCCTGCTTTTTTTCAAAAGATTTTGGAAAATATGGGTTGTAATTTAGATATCTGTGATAACTGAATGTTCTAGGTATTGACTTGTGACATAGAACATAAACGTGAATTGGTTTGTAAAGAAGATAGCGGAAAGAAAATGTACTATTATTCTGTATGGGTAATAATAGATTTCTCTTTTTCAAAGTTTTCAAGAAAAGTAGGCAGAAAAATCAGGAAGAGGCTTCCCTTCTCTTTTGGCTGACAGATAAGGGCAAACACACTTTCCTTCACTTTTATTATCCCAGGGCAGCAAAAGGATAGGCATTTCTATTTTAATGTAAAACAGTCTGATTCCATAAACATTTTGAGGGTTATGCCACTGAATTAGCATACCTCATAATACTTCCTAGTTAATGGGATGCAGGCCACAGCATTTTTGTATTGTATATATGCAAAAGATTTTTCATTTCAGTGATCATACAAACAACCCATGGTTGAATTAATTATAGTGGATATGCATGCAATAAAGGCATCGTATCCATCAGTGCTCAATGGAGATTAGCAGCCAGATTTCCAGGGGCCATTCATCCATTAATTCTTCAACAGATGATTTTTCTAATGTCAGGAACACTAGCGTTAGTCAGCCTAAGTTGACATATGAGCAAAATTCATTGTGTACTGGACATTTGAAAAGGTGATTGTTGCTAAAGAACAAGGAGAAGAAGTAATTCTCCTAAAGATAGGGCTAACAACACATATGTGTCCAAAATACCACATATAGCTTTGGGTAGAGGAGGAGATATTGCCCACAAAATACAAGCTATTCAAAATCCATTGAATAAATTTTGAAAAATCAGATAAATACTCATTGTTTTCCATTAAAATAAAAGTCAGATTGGCTAGAGAAAGCAAAGCAAAGCAACATTTCAGTGAATACATTCATCAGCTAAGCCCAAACGTGTTATGTTTGGTTTTAGCTTTGTGTGTTGTGAAAATCCAGCCACTGTGGTTTATAAACTCTGGTATATGGCTTACCATATTGTATGAATTCAACCAATTGTGGTTTATTCAATTAAGATTTTAAAAAAACCCATGGATTTGCATGAGTTAACTCAACTGGGATTAATTTTATATTTGTACTGCAGATGGCATTTACTTTTGAATGGGGATCTTGGAGAAGGCTGGGCTTTCAGCCAACACTCTTGGGATATAATACATTTTCAAGCATTTAGTTTCTTCTGATTCTAGTTTTAAGTGAATTTTGCCTCTTTTCAGTTTCTTCATAGTTGGTCTGTACAATACAGTACATAATAAATTTGGGATATTCTTGGAGTTGTATGCTAGATAGTAAGACATTTTGCACCAAAAATTTAGGGTTAAAACTTTTACTGATGACATTAGAAAACATCACTACTGGCACAACAAAGAGTTCATGAGTTCCCACTCTGGCATGATAATCAGCATTCAGGGTTGCATCTTTCATCATACATATGTGCATGTACTGTGCATGCATGCATGCAATAATGAACATGTAAAGTTTAGCAACTACCTTGGACAGCAACTGTTCACAATTATAATGATGATTAAAAAGTAACTTTGCAACCAATTCTTTGAAAAGGAAAACTGAAGTAAGATCATAAGCATAGTCACAATTTCACTCAATGACCGCTTTGTTTAATCATTGAGTAGCCAGTCCTAATTATGGTTGCTAATTGAGGACTACCTATACACAAAGATATATGTCAAGTTACATAACTCAAGAATTCCAGTGTCTATATACAAATGGACAGAGTATAGAAAAAAAATATAAAGAACTACAGATAGTCTTTCCTTATCAACCATAGTTAGGACTGGCAATTCTGCCGCTAAACGCCATGGTGGCTAAGCAAAAAAAAATCACATGACCATTTTATTGTTAGATAAATCACTATAGTCATTGGATGAGATATCACTTGCCCTGCTTACATTACTTTAAGTCTTAGGGCTGCTGGGACATTAAGTTTCTCTCCAATCCAGGCTAATCCATCTTTTAACACACACAGGTTATTATGTTTCCAAAACCACTCATCGGTTTCTAATGCAGTTTTAAAGTCCTGCAGCAAAGTTTTTCCAATAGGATCCACAGGTCTCGACTGGGCCCTGGTGGTTACCGGGGCTGCTAATTGACGAGGATGTAAAAGTACTTTAGTCACTTCTGCTTTCTTGCTATTATATTGTGGTAGTCTGGACAGGGCGTCTGCTAAAAAATTCTTTCCCCCAGGAGGTAATGGATAGTGAAATCAAAGTGATGAAAGTATTGGGACCACCTGGCTTGTTTGGGTGAGAGTTTCCTGGGAGTTTTCATTGTTTCAAGATTCTTATGATCAGTCCATATTTGAAACAGTATTTTACTCCCTTCCTTGAAATGCCTCCAAGTGAGGAGAGCCCATCGTATAGCATAGGCCTCCTTCTCCCATGCTTCCCACCTCTGCTCAGTCTCTGATAATTTCCTAGAGGTGTAAGCTTCTTCTTCTTCTTGTGCCATATCCGTTATCGGATGTTGGCGATCATGTTGGCAATCCTGTTTTTATCAGCAGCCGCAAGAAGTGCTGCTGAGTTTTGTCCAAACCAGTCCTTTAGATTTTGAAGCCATGATGTTCTTCTTCTACCTGGACCTTGTTTGCCTTCAATCTTTCCCTGGAGGATTAAATGGAGTATGCTGTATTTTTCTGGGTGTCGCATCACATATCTGAAATATTCTAACTTTCGTTTTTTAATTGTTTTGAGGATTTCCCTTGGCTTTTCCAGGACGCTTATCACCTCATCATTTCTGATCTTGTCAACCCAGCTTATACATAATAGTCGCCTGTAAATCCTCATTTCAAATGCTTCTAGTCTTTCAGGTGGCCTTCTGTCAGAGACCAACTCTCTACTCCATAGAGCAGGATAAAAAAATATAATATCTGACAAGCCTGATTTTCAATCTTAGGCTTATGTCGTGACTGCAGAAGACCTTTTTCATTTTGAAGAATGCTGTTTGAGCTTTCTCTATCCTTGTCTTTACGTCAGTGGTCATATCCCAGCTTTCATGTAAATTAGAACCGAGGTGCGTGATCCTTTCAATTTTTTCTAATGGTATTCCTTCCAAATTTATTGGTGGTAAATTAACGGGTTGTTTGCTGATGACCATGATCTTGGTTTTTGAGGTGTTAAGCTTCAAGCCGTATTTTTCAGACATTTCTGTGACTCTGTTGAGGAGCTGAAGGTCTTCATGTTTACTGGCAAGCAGAACTGTATCGTCAGCATATCTTAAATTGTTGATCCAAACACTGTTTACTTTGATGCCAGCATCGATGTTCTCCCGTGCCTTGTTGAAGATTGACTCAGAGTAGATATTGAACATCAGTGAAGACAGAATACATCCCTGTCCGACCCCTCTTCGTATTT